GGGTCAGGTAAGCTGGTCCTCTGTGTCATGTGCTGTAGACGGGTCAGGTAAGCTGAGCACTGAGAACCGGCTGTGGCGGGAGTGATGGGAAGGCACTAGTCATTTTGACATGACAGATTTTGTGGAGTGGTGAGAGCAAACTCTTGACTAGAATGGATTGGAGGGAATAGGCGAAAAGAAATGAGAGAATATAAATAATTCCACTGAGAAACTTCCTACAAAAGGGAGCAGAAGGGGACTGTAACTGAAAGAAGGAATTCTCTAGGGTCCTGAGAATTTTAGATTTAAATTTTTTTTCTTAAGGTAGGAGAAACAACGCCTGTTTGAAAATTAACAGGAGCAATTTAATGAAGAGCAAAACAATGATGACAGGAGTGACAGGGGGATCGCTGGGGCTTTGTCCTTGAGTGTGATAGAGGGAGGATCTAGTGTGTAACTAGGTTTGTTCAGAGGAGTTGGGAGTGCATGATCACAGGAAGAAAATTAAGGCAGCTGCTGTAGGAACCATGTTGGTGAGATCTTACCAATGGTCAGTACACATGTATCCCCCAAATCTAAATCTAGGTAGAGATGCTGCTATGTGGCTATGTGTGACTGCGGGAGCTTAGAAGTGGTTTTCTGATTGCTTCAAATTTCTGAGTAAAGTAGGAAGAAAGGCAGCCAACTGAGAGAGGATGGGGAAGGAGATAAAGGAAAGGGAAGGTATGAAATAGTTGTGTAGGACAAGGACTGGCAAGGTTTTTCTGTAAAGGGCCAGATAACAAATATTTTAAATGTGGGCCACTGTAGTGTGGAAACAGCCAGACAGCACACAAATGAATGTGGGCTAGTTTGCTCTCTCCGACCCGGGACGGTGGGAGAGCGGATGGCCTGAGACAGTGTCACGGTTGCCAGGTAGTATTAAAGACTCACTTGAGATTTGTGTTCATGAATTTATAGCGTGAGGCCAGTTCCGTTTGTGATTTTTTTCTCCAACCACAATCACACAGCTGCAGAGTAGGTGGAGAGCTGTGTCAAGGTTGTGGCTTTCAGCAAGAACTGCCAAGTGAGACTGGGACTGTGGAGTGGAGTGGTTAATATTTGATAGTGGAATTTAATCTGAGTAAGGAGCGAGGGGTCAGGAAGGACTCTGATCAGGATAATACAGGGAGTGAACTACTAAGGTAAAAGCTGAGGGTGGCCAAGTGGGATGCCTGATGCAGGATGAGGGAGGGGCTGCAGCTGTTGGTACTGACAAGCATCATGGGAGTACGTGCCATTTGTAGGACAGAACATAAAGGTTATCAGAGGGGGGGCTTAGAAGGTTTGTGTGTGTGTGTCTGTGTGTAAACGCATATGTGGATATTAAGGAGAATATTAAGTTAGGAGCTAAAATTTTCAAGAAATGAGGCACAGTAGCCCAAGAGTCAGAGATGACTGGCAAAGGGAAGGCTAGTGAGTGGTCAAACACGATGGTATGAGATTCTGACAGTGGCAATGAAGAACAAAGACAGCACCTAGCAGACCTCCAGACCCAGTGGTATTGAGGTCATGGGAGATGCAGAGTCCACTGGGACATCTGGATTTCTCTAAGAGCAAGAAGGTGAAGGAAGCACTGGAGGGATGGATGAGGGTAGAGATTCTGCTAATCAATGGTATTTAGTTCCAGAGTGTTTGGAACTAAACAAATTGGAGAAAGGTGAACACTGGACATGAATAGGAACTTTTTTCTTTTCTTTTTTGAGACACTCTCACTTTGTCGCCCTTGGTAGGGTGCCATGGTGTCACAGCTCACAGCAACCTCAAACTCGGGCTTAAGCGATTCTGTTGCCTCAGCCTCCCAAGTAGCTGGGATTACAGACGCCTGCCACCAGGCCCAGCTATTTTGTTGTTGTTGCAGTTCTTTGTTTAGCAGGCCTGAGCCGGGTTAGAACCGACCAGCCTCAGTGCATATGGCCAGCTCCCTACCCACTGAGCTACAGGCGCTGCCCGGAACTTTTTTTCTTTTTTAAAAAGCTCTGTGGTAGTTAGAACATGGGGATGGAGGTGTCCTGACTATTGGGGAAGTAATATCCCACCGACATGGTATCTACAGCAGCGGTGACACCGCAGAGGTGCCAGTCCCTCATCTCTCTCTCTCCTTGGGACCCCTATCTCTAGGCATACAAACCCAGTCATTTTCAGGTTTGTCCTCCAGGGTTCAGTGTTTCCTAACTTACAGCCTGCACGTCCCCCCCCATTAGGATCAGCATTTCCCTGTCCAGAGCTGCTCTGCTCCTCCTGCCCTCAGCATCCCTCTGGTGATGTCATTTCTGTCCAGGTCACCCACATTTCTTCACCTCCTGGTTCTCTTAGGTATTTTTTTTTTAATTTTATTTATTATTATTATTTTTTATTTTATTTTTTACTTTTTTGCTGTTTTTGGCCGGGGCTGGGTTTGAACCCGCCACCTCCGGCATATGGGATCAGCGCCCTACCCTTTTGAGCCACTGGCACTGCCCCCTCTCTTAGGTATTAATACTTAAAAATCTAATTTTACTTTGAGATGATATATTCCTAAGCAGGTGCATAAGACTTAAAATAAGGAGGAATTTACATGCTGGGACACATTTTAGGTTTTTCTTAAAGCTTTTGGATTCGCTAGGAGTTTTTTTTTGAGACAGAGTTTATGTCGCCCTTGGTAGAGTGTCATAGTGTCACAGCTTGCAGCAACCTCAAACTCTTGGGCTTAAGCGATTCTCTTGCCTCAGCCTCCCAAGTAGCTGAGACTATAGGCGTCCACCGTAATGCCCAGCTGGGTTTTTTTTGTTGTAGGTGTCATTGTTGTTTGGCAGGCCAGGGCTGGGCTCCAACCCACCAGGTTCAGTGTATGTGGCCAGCGCCCTACTCACTGAGCTAGGGGCATGGAGCCGCACAGGAATTTTTACAAAGGGTTACTTAAGATACTGTGATTTCTTCTTTGGTGTTAATTATCTCTGTTCAACAATTTTTCTTTTTTTGAGACAAGAGTCTCACTATGTCGCCCTCAGAATGCTGTGGCATCAGAGCTCACAGCAACCTCCAACTCTTGCACTTAAGCTATTCTCTTGCTTCAGCCTCCCAAGTAGCTGAGACTATAGGCGCCTGCCACAATGCCTGGCTATTTTTTGTTGTAGTTATCATTGTTGTTTGGCAGGCCTGGGCTGGGTTTGAACCCGCCAGCTCCAGTGTATGTAGCTGACACCCTAGTAGCTGAGCTACAGGGGCTGAGCCCTGTTCAGCAATTTCAATTGAGTGAAGGGAGAGTAGCTGTGAGGTGGACGAGGGACTCCTTAGCTCTCATGGCTAAGACTCTTGAGCTACATCAAAAACCATTGCAGGGTAGGTGTGGGGCTCACGCTTGTAATTCTAGCAGTCTGGGAGGCTAAAGTGGAGGATTTCTTGAGGTCAGGGGTTCAAGATCAGCTTGAGTTAGAGCAAGAGGCTGTTTCAACAAAAAAATAGAAAAAAAACATTAGCTGGGTGTGGTGGCCCAGCTACTCAGGAGGCTGAGGCAGGAGAATCGCTTGAGTCCAGAAGGTTGCTATGATGACACCACTGAATTCCAGCCCAGGCAACAGAGTGAGACTCTGTCTCAAATAAAAACCATTGCAGTTTGTAGAATTTCACATGAGGCCCTGGAGGTGTCCACACAACCCCTCCACCTCCATTTCACATACCACACTCATGCTTACAGCACATGTGCAGCCACCTGGTAAGGGAATTCTTAGTCTCTTACAGATGTAAGAATGTTTTCTAGTGAGTGTAGTTATCTTGCCACTAACTCAGAGACTTGCAGAAAACTCTTCCCATCACAGGAGGGAACGGTGCATAGGGAGAATATACAAATCGGCCTTCCATGTCCTCGGGTTCTGCATCTGCAGATTCAACCAACCACATGTTGAAATTATTTGAAAGAAAATAAACATCAAAAAAAAAATTACAAGGCTCACACCTCTAAGTCCAACACTCTGCAAGGCTGAGGGAGGAGGATCAGTTGCACCTAGGAGTTTGAGGTTAACAGTGAGCTGTGACTGCTCCACTGTATTTTAGCCTGGGCAACAGAGCAAGACCATCTCTAAAAATATATATAGCATAACAGCTGTTACACAGCATTCACATAGTCATAGGTATTATAAGTAATCTAAAGATGATTTAAAGTAGATGAGGAGATGTGCATAGATTGCATATATTACAAATACTACACCATTTTATATATAAGGGACTTGAGTACTTGAGGGTTTTGGTATCAGTAGGGGTCCTGGAACCAGTTCCTCCCCTGAGCACAGATATGAAGGGATGAGTATTTCTATATTTCTCTGATTTTCATCACCATGGGATAAATATGATGACCTAGCATCAGACTGATACATAGTGAAATCTTACAGGCAAGCACTCAGATACAAACAAGAATTCGATACTCCTAGGGAATCTCAGCTTCTTTTGATGCTCAAAAGGAGGGCAGAGGACAGGTAGTTTAGGTGACACTGTCACAAGCAGGGGCTAGGCTAAATGACCTTGAAGAATTTTGCCCAAGTATTCAGGATTTGTGCTCTGAAAGAGAGATTATGTCCATTTCCTAGAAACCCTCTTAGCCTGTGTGCCCTCACCTGAAACTGAATGTGAGTCATCCAGAGTTTGTTATCTAGTAGCTCCGTTAGGCACACAGCTTGCGCTAAGAGCTTTGATGTATTTTTCTCTCTGTCCTACTAGCCAAGAAAGCTACCGTGAATCTACTGGGTGAAGAAAAGAAGAGCACCTAAGCACAGACTGGAGGAATCCTTTCTGCCCTTTCTGTATCTTCCCATTAGAGCTTAATGTTGTATTAGAGACTGTGGTATCATCATTTGAATAACGTTGCCTCAGAAACATTTTTGATGTATTAAAAAATGGAATGTGTTGTAAGTTTGTTTGCTTACTTTTACTGCCTATATACATAAAAGCATTTTAGATTTAATGCAGTGGGCAGTGTCCAAATTTCTGGAAAATATATTTTGCCTCTGGGTAGGAAAAGATGTTACCATCCTGCAGGAAATATAAACTTAAAATAAAATTACACATCCCACAGGGTGTGTACTTTATGGGGCTCACTCTGCATGCGTTTTCTCTGTGCTTGTAATATTTAGGATAATCTTTATGGTTCTACTTCATGTAATGTACAATTTTATATAATTCTTAAATGTTTTTAATGTATTTGTGCACTATACATAGGAAAATGTTACTGTCTTGACTGTAACATGTAATGCTTATAAGGAAGGTTGTGTATATGCTATTTATAACTTCTGTACAGTAAGACCACCTGCCAAAAGCTGAAGTACCATTGTGTTGATGTGATCTGCTAAATAATAGTTAAGAAAATTAATACAAATGACTAGTATTCAATTAGCCAGGCATGGTGGCATTTGCCTATATGGTCCCAGCTACTCCAGAGGCTAAGGCAGGAGGGGTGCTTGAGCCCCAGAGTTGGAGGTTGCAGTGAGCTATGATGCTGCCAGTGCACTCCAGCCAGGGTGACAATGCAAGATACTGTCTTTAAGTAAATAAATATTAGCATTCAAATGAAGAAAGTAAGAAATTATGCTGAATGGAGATTGGCCTGGTTGTTTTCCTAATGTTGTAGCACCTGAATACCAGGACAGCTTTGTAACCACTTAGTCACTCTACTGATAAATGAGATTTACGCACATATCAGATCTGCTTAAAAGCTTTAGATTTGTTTTTAAGATGCAAAATGGAAACCATTCCTGGTTTTAGCTTCAAAGCTGGTACCTGTTGGCTTAGTCTTGTTTCTTTCCCATCTTCTTTTTAAGACCAGTTTAAGGAACATCCAAAGACATGCCCACCTCTGATTACATATGTTCTTGTTTATATCATTAGGGACAGTATGCTAATGATGACACCCAGCTCTACGAGCAGTTCTGAGAGAACAACAGCAAGTATGATATAACCTCTAAGTTGGCAGCAGCTAAGTCAAACTGCCTGCACCTTTTTCTCTGGCTTTAAAGTCAAATACAAGTGGTCTCCCTTGCTTATAAATCAGAATCATTTATAGTCCATTTAAATGCCTTCGCCTTTATTCTTTATTTTGATAAACATATGACCGACAGTTTAAGAACAGAACAATAAAAGTTAAAATGACTGTCACCTTGATTGGCTAAATAGCTCGTAGAGGTCTTGACAACTTGTCTGGATCAGAAAATCTGGCTTTACACCATATGGCTAGAATGCTTCTGAGTTCAATTAAACTAGACTAAAATAAATACATAACAAAACTAGTAAGATTAAATATCCAGGCAGTAAAATATTTTTTAAGGTAAATAAAGATGATTAGCTCACCTTTAGATAACAATCAGGAAAGCTCACAATGTCTCATGACATAAAAAAAAGTACTAAAGATATGGCTCAGCGCCCATAGCTCAATGGTTAAGGCGCTGGCCACATACACTGGGCCTGGCTCAGGTCTGCGAAACAACTACAACAAAAAAATAATTGGGTGTTGTGGTGGGCACCTGTAGTCCCAGCTACTTGGGAGTCTGAGGCAAAAGAATCGCTTAAGTCCAAGAGTTTCAGGTTGCTGTGAGCTATAAATGTCTACCGAGGGCAACATAGTAAGACTCTGTTGTGAGACTCTCAAAAAAAAAAAAAAAAAAAAAACCCCAAAATAAAAATAAAAATAAAGATATCAAAAATAAGGAACAGTTATCACTAAAATATAATAATATAGATCAATGCAATTTTTTCTAGGAAAAATAGTGGTAATTATTGGGTATCTTATTAAAGGAAAAAAAAACCTTTTTAGAAAGCAAATAATTGTTGAGAGAAAAAAACAAGCCTTAGATTTTTTTTTAAAGTATCTCTAGGAGTATTTCAGCTCAAGGCTGTAATCCCAGCACTGTGGGAGGCCCAGGCTGGTGGATTACCTAAGCTCAGGAGTTCGAGACCAGCCTAAGCAAGAGTGAGACCCCATCTCTAAAAATAGCCAGGCACTTATAGTCTCAGCTACTAGGTAGGCTGAGGCAAGAAAATCGCTTGAGCCTAAGAGTTAAAAGTTGCTGTGAGCTGTGATGCCATAGCACTGTACCTAGGGCAACAGAATGAGATTCTGTCTCAAGAAACAAAAAAAGTATCTCTAGGAGTATTTCAATCCTTTCCCCATAAATAAAAGTATACTTTTCCTGTTGACAGAAAAATGAGAATTAGCATTTTCTACCATATAAAATAGTCAGAATGCTAGTATACAGACAAGACAGGAGGCATGAAAGTTACTATGGCTCCTAATTACAGGCTAATACCCACTTAAAAACAGCAGTAAAATACACAGTACCTTCTGAATGCAATTTTTTTTAAACATCTTGGTACCACAGCTTTCTCCTTTAATTCACTGCACAAGAAATTTAAGTTTCTGTTTTTACAGTTGAGCTGTAAATGTTAATGGTAAGAGAAGTTGTCTGAACAATTCTGTCTCGTTTTTCCCCAAATAAAATACTGCCATGGCTGGAGTATTTGAAGAACTAATTGAGTCTGCATCTGGCTACAAGACAAGCATTTATTTTTTTGTATATAAATCTCAAGGGTATGTAAAGTGTTTCAGAATTTCTACTAAATTTTAAATTCTTCAAAACAAAGGAAAAATTTCCTATAGCAGTTACTCACTTATTGAAGGCTTTAATCATCCAGATCAACAAATTTACTGCTACTCTGGGCAGTCTTCCACCCACAGCCTGAGGAAATGCTCATAGCCTATAAATAAGTTACCACCTATCCTGAGGATGTGATGTATTGAATGGAAATGATGTAAATAAAATTCAGATCTCATCTGTTACATTTCATTGTATTTTATGTGTGTGTGTGTGTGTGTGGGTCCCTAGCCCCGAATTATTTAAGCAAAATTTTAAGTAAATAATGGATAAATGAGCCTAAACACTGCTGATTAACTCTATTCCTCCTGTGCTTGTAATTTTCTTCTGGTGGTTACTGTCTACCAAGGAAAAGCCCTTCCCTAAAGAAAACCTATCAACCAAGAAGTTTCCACCAATAATGAGCACTAGACGGATATAAAGGGCACCTAAATCACTGCTCTCTACCCGTATGCTGCATTACAAAGAAGACTCATGACTTAAGACAGTATATTGCACTGATTTCAACAATACACTGTTACAATAATAGTTCTGAAACATTAGTTGTCTTAGTGTTTTATGTTGCCATAACAGAATACCAGAGACTGAGTAATTCATAATGAATGGAAATTTATTCAGGTCATGGTTGAAGACTGGGAAATCCAAGAGTATGGTGCCAAAATCTGGCAAAGGCCTTCATGCTGCATCATCCCATGGTGGAAAATGGAAGGCCAGGAGGCTGTGCTGGAGATAGCAGAGAGTTGGCCAAATCCCATTTGTAACAAACCCACTCTTGAGATGATATAATCCACTTAAGGCAGAGTCACCAAGGCCCAATGACCATCCACCTCTCAATACTGTCAATATGAATTTTGAAGGGGACATTCAAACCACAACACTAACAATCCTTATTGCCCCATAACTAAAACCTTTAGATCCTAATCATCTTTTTGTGACAAATCTTTTAAGTTGGCTACTCCATTATGCATCCTCAACTACTTCCCTCCTCAGCTGCTTTGACTGTCAGGACTGAAAAAGCTCTACACAGTAGTGGTCACTTCCTGTGGCTCCTATCACCCATAGTCAATACTTCGACTAACCACAGTCACACAACTTTTATTACAGCATAATTGTTCTATGCTGTTATTGTTGCTAGTCCTTTATTCAGCTTAACTTATAAATTAAAACTCATTATAGGAAAAAACATTGCATACATATAGGATGTGGCACTGTTCAGTTTCAGGCCTCCATTGGGAGTCCTGAAAGTATCCTCTGGGGATAAGGGGACTACTGAGTTCATTCCCCAGTTTCCTCGGCAGCTAGAGATGGATGTGTACTAGAGTTCTCAACAACAAAACTTAACTGAAAGTCTGCTGAGAGGAATTTTGAGAAATCTCTTGCTTTCTTTTTAGAGGACAAAAGTGGCTGGAACAGCTATCTTTTCTTTCAGACTTGAACTCTTACGTAAATGTCAGCCCTTTGGTAAGCTTAAGACATCATTCTTAAGGATGTCAGAAACATGTCATGGAAAATGAAGTGGAAAAATACAAAAAAAGGCATCACTGAGAGCTGAGCCAACACCTACAACAATCTTCTTTAGATTTCATGTTCCACAAACACATTCCTAAGTGATATATTTTCCAAAAAAGGTCTGTAACGAATTGTTTTACACATACTCCCCCATATTTATTTCTAAGTCAAATATACAAACTGCTATGTTATTATGTTCACTATAAAACAAAAGGGAAATTGTTAAGACTGAAAACAGTAAATTTTTTTTTTTTTTTTTTTTTT